CTGCCGCATGCGAGCGCTGGCATGTGGGCCTTCGGTGGGGCTCCCTGTGGGGCCACGAAACGTATGAGCGGTGTGCCAAAATGGGTGCGGTGGCCGCATGCGAACGCTGGCATGTCGCCTTACGATGGGGCTCCCCATGGGGCCACGAAACGTGTGAGGGGTGTGCCAAAATGGGTGCGGTGGCCGCATGCAAACGCTGGCATGTGGCCCTACGGTGGGGCGCCCTGTGGGGCCACGAAATGTGTGAGGGGTGTGCCCCAATAGGTGCGGTGGCCACATGCGAACGCTGGCGGTTGGGCCTTCTGTGGGGCTCCCTGTGGGGCCACGAATCTTGTGAACGGCGCGCCAAAAATGGTGCGGTGGTCGCATACGAACGTTGGCATTTGGGCCTTCGGTGGGGCTCTCTGTGGGGCCATGCAGCGCGCGAGGAAATGCCACAATGTGCGCGGTAGCCGCATGCGAACGCTGGCATCTGAGGCTCTCCGAAGATCACCTTATGGGGTTACGAAACGTGTGAGGTGTGTTCCGAAATATGTGCGGTGGCCGCATGCGAGCGCTGGCATTTGGGCTTTCGGTGGGGCTCCCTTCGGGGCCACGAAGCGTGTGAGGGGTGTGCCAAAATGGGTGCGGTGGCCGCATGCGAGCGCTGGCATTTGGGCCTTAGGTGAGACTCCCTATGGGGCCACGAAACGTGTGAGGGGTGTGCCAAAATGGGTGCGGTGGCCACATGCGAACGCTGGCGTTTGGGCCTTCGGTGAGGCTCCCCATGGGGCCACGGATCGTGTGAGGGGTATGGCAACATGGTTGACTTGTTCGGAGGGCAGAGGCAGGGATCGGAGGAGGAAGGGAAGGGAGGGGCGGGAGAAGGAGAGGAGGAGAGGAGACGCGGGCATTGTCTCTTCAAAACGAGGACCCAACACCACAGGATGGTCGGGAAATGGTGCATTCGTGAGGATTCCTTACCCGGCTTCTTCTCACAGAATTCCTTACTAAGGATTCCTCTCCAGCACAGATGTTCCCAATACCACCAGAAAGCCCCCAAGACAAACCCAAGAGGCCCCCAGAGGGACCCAAGACGCTTCCAACGTGCCCTACGAGAGCCAACGTCGCAGGGAGCCACTCCACCACGCTCTCGAACACTCCCGCCAGAACGCGCTTTCTCCCTTCCACCTGCCCAGTTGCCGCCTTCCCAGAGCGGTCCAACAGAGCTCTCTCCTCCCCTTTTTGTTTGGGTCTCCGACCGTCCAACCCTCCTCAACCAGTGCAGGCCCATGCCAAGAAGCATCCTGCTCGCCTCCAGGGTGCCCTGGGTTTCTTGGGTTTCGATGGTTTTGCTATGGAAACCGCGACGCCCTCACACAAAAACTCAAGGGACGCCCTGGGGTCTCAGGGTTGGGTTTCGTGTGGCAGGTTCCTTTTGGACAGGCCTCCACTGTACCCGTCCCCAGCCTGCTCTGACGCTCCTCGGAACCCCATTGGACCCCATCTCGGACCTCGAACCTCCAGGAAGGATGTGTAGGATCCCCCCCTCTGGCCCCGGGGCCGGTTGCCCTGAACGTTTGCAGTGCTGCCGTGGCTCCGACGCCCCCAACGTTGGAGGAGCAAAAACACACACACACACACATAGACACAATGAATCGTCGACTCCCAGGAAACGATCGGAAAATAGTGGAATTTGGGGGGGAAGGCGAAAACCCAGGAGATATCCGTAAGGGCTTCGCCCCCTGCCGCTGGCCCCATCTCTCGGATAATGGGCAATGCAAGAGCGAAAGCATGAGGCCTTGGCGCGCCGCCGTGAAGCAGCCTTGGGAGTTCACGCGAAGACGGTGAGTCATCGGCAAGACAAATTGAGATTCTGGTGATATTGTTGCATCCGGTGTTGTATTGCGAAGGCCTTACGGCCGTTGCTGCCGACCCTGAGAGCGACGAAGATGAAAACGAGGGGGGGGCAGGGTGGAGGAGGTGGATGAGAGAGGAGGAGGGGGGAGAAGGATGTGGAGGAGAAGCAAGAGGAGGAGAAGGAGGCAGAGGAGGCTCCCCCTCCTCCTGGAGGAGGGGGAGCAGAGGGGGGGGGAGGAGGAGTAGGAGTAGGAGGAGGAGGAGGAGGAGGAGGAGGAGGAGGAGGAGGAGGAGGAGGAGGAGGGGGAAGAGGAGGAGGCCAGAGGCTTTCTTGGGACAGCCTGTGGCTCTCCTGAGGCCGTCTTGGGCCGTCCAGGGCTCCTCTTGCGCCGTCTCGCGGCACTCTTGGAGGCCTTTGGGGCAATTTTGGGCTCTCCTGGGCTGTCTTGGGGCAGTTTGGGGGCCCCTTGGGAGCCTCTTGGGGCCTCTTGGGGCTTCTTCGGGGCCTCTTGGGGGCCTCTTGGAGCTAACAGCTTGAAATGTCCGTTCGGGTCCCCCGACTGGGCGCTCTCCTGGAGCCATTTTGGGGGCCTCTTGGGCCTGATGGAGGCGTCTTGGGCCGTCTTGGGGCCCTCTTCGGCCGTTAGGGGACCATCTTTGGGGCCTCTTGGGCCGTCTCATTGCGATCTTGGGGGCCTCTTGGGCCGTCTTGGCGCGTCGGGAAGTGGAAGAGGCAAGAACTCCAAAATCTGTCAAAAACGTATAGGGAATCCACGAATGTTGCCTCTTGGGGCTCTCGTGAGAAAGCTCCTGGAGGTCTCTTAGGGGCGCTTTGCAGGCCTCTTGGGCCGTCTGGAGGCCGTCAAGGCGTCTTGGACAGATCGTTCGGCGATTCGGGGTTCTCTTGGACTGTCTTTGGGGCCTCTTGGGGCACTCTTGGCCTGTCTTGGGGCTTTTTGGGGCTCCGAGACTCCCAGGGGGGGCGTCGTATCTGACCCCCCCCCCCTGGGGCGTCTGACCCGCCCCCCTCCCTCCCCGGGACCTCCTCCCCCCCCCCCTCGGCGGGGGAGGGATCGAAGGGAAGGAGCTTCTATTCGACTCAATTACGACGTCGCTTATTTTCGCTTTGGCTGGCGCGCTGAGGAGGTCCTTGGGAAAGGGGGGAGCTTCGACGAGCCCAAGGAAAAGGGGAAGGCAGGGAAAGGGGACGACAGAGACGACGACCAACGAATGACGGAGATGACGACTTGAACGGACAAGCCCCTCACACATGCTGACAGGGTCGGCGGATTTCGAGCTTGCTCGCGTATGCTGTGCAAAAAGCTTTCCTACGAAGTCTTGAAATGTTGCAAATCCCATGTATTTGTTTGACCCTGACCCCACCGATCTGCGCGAGGGGTGCCACCGAATTTCAAGATATGTGGCAAATCCGATGTGTTTTTCGACCCTGTCCCCGCCGATCTGCTTGAGGGGTGCCACCGAATGTCAGAAATGTTGCAAATCCCATAATTTTTTCGACCGTGACCCCGCCGATCTGCGTGAGGGGTGCCACTGCATTTCAGAAATGTAGCAAATCTTATGTTTTTGACCGTGACCCCGCCGATCTGCGCGAGGGGTGCCACCGAATTTCAAAAATGTACCAAATCCTTTGTGTTTTTCGACCCTGACCCCGCCTATCTGCGTGAGGGGTGCCACCGAGTTTAAAACATTTAGCAAATCCTTCCGTGTTTTTGGACCCTGACCCCGCCGATCTGCAGGAGGGGTGCCACCGAAGTTTCGAAATATGGCAAATCCCATATGTTTTTGGACCTTGACCCCGCCGATCTGCGTGAGGGGTGTCAATTTCGACCCCCCCAAGAATTCTGAGCACGCGATCTGGGCGTGGTAGAAATGGCGGTTTGCGGCTCCCCCCCCTCGCGCGGTCTACAGCAAGGAACGGTAAGAAGCAAGAAGCATAACTAAAACAGCGGAAATTGGAAACTGGAACTGGCGCAGGGAACAGCAAACCCTGGCCCTACAGCTTGGTGGCCCCACAAGGGGGCCGGCGGATAAGAAAATATGGGGAACCCTTTGTGTCCATTCATTGGTGCGTCACTAGGCCTCTTTCCCAACATGATAAAAGAGACCCCCCCAGATACTCCCGAAGGGGCGCCCACGAGCGTTCCAGAACACTCCCGCCGGAACGCGCATGTTCTCCCACATTTTGCCCAGAGCAGCCCAGCACAGCCCCATAAGGCACCCCGAGACTCCCCCTCAGACCCTCTCCCGCGTTCCAGAGCAGTCCCGCCAGAACGTGCTTCTCCGTTCCTCCTTGCCGCTGTCCCAGGTCAATCCCACAGTGTTTCCCCCTGGTGGTTCCTGGGTCACCGACCTTCCAAGCCCCCTCGAGCTCGCTTCGAGCCTCTACTCCCATCCTCGCATTCTCATGAAGATGCCAACTTCCCGAATCGATAATAGTGAAGGATACGGGCATGTTCTGGAACGCTCTCCGCGGAACGTGCTCGTTCCACGACTATGGAGAACATCTGTTTGTTCCATCCTTCCTCGGCATGTTCTGCGCATCGTGCAAACCAGCCCGCCTGCAGCTCTGTGCCAGCGAGAAGCCATGTTTTGCACCGATTCTGCGACACATGGGCAGACACCCGCGCCTGAGTGTGGCCTGATGTCGTTGGGGACAGCAGACCCGATGACCGCACAGCGTGGTGCAACTGTGACTAGAACCTACGCGCGCACGAAGCGCGCGCGGTGGTTGAGAATGAGTTGCTTCTCGTTCTTTTCAGGCTTACATATCTCCCAACGGGATCTGCACGGGTCCAGACGGCACGTTGCTCCGAGAATGGCCCTAACATTGGCACAAGGCGGTTCCTTCCCGGCTGCAAGACATTACATGCCCCGCCCCGAGGTGGCCCAGCATCGCTTTGGCATCACCCAAGTGTTTCGGAAGGTGAGCGTACCACCAGCCCAAAACCATTCGTTCCAAGAGTGCCCAGGGCCTCATTCTTTTCATTCCCCTCCATGTTCCTTCCGATCCTGCCACTCTCCACTTATGCGCCTCTTCTTTCCCCTCACCATATCCCATATCCCCTCAAGAGGATTAAAACGAGAAGGATGAGAACGATGAAGGGGATCCCGAGCAGCAGGAGCAGGCGCAACAGGAGGAGGACTATCGTACGCGCGGACCTGCGTGGGTGTGCGGGAGCGTGGTGCCGATGCAGACGCGTGTGTTTGCGTACGCAGTGCACGGGTAGACGCGCACGTGACACGAGTGCTGGGCAGAGAACACCTCGGTCTCTCCTCTCGTAGCCCCCGCCGCCCTGCTCAAACTCCCCGGGGCAGCACTCCTGCCGCGCAGCTGTGAAGTTTTTTTTGCCGCAGCCTTCAGCGCGGCTGCGTCCTGGGCAGACCGGGCAGGAGCCCCTTCTCAGGAGCAGGCCCGCCCTGCTGCTCCTCCCCTGCAGTGCTCGCGCCCTCCCTGTCACAAGGACCCCCTGTACAGTGTAGAGGGCACCTCAGCACACGGTAGAGTCCGCCTTCGATCACTACGCTTGCACTCGCCGGAAAGGCCGCAAGGGCGATATGGAGCCCTTGATTGGCCATTCGGAAGAACTTCGTTTTCGCCGCTGAGGTCGCCAAAGACCTTGTCCCAGAGCAGGAAGGCTAGATTGAGCCTCGGGCCGCAGCGTCGCTTCTGATACAGCTGGACCCTGAATGGGGTCTGGATCTGCTCGGCGGGAAAAGGATGCTAGATGGAGCCTGGGACCAAACGTGGCCTCCGTGACAGTTCGGCTCTGCAACAAGGCTCGGAGCCCGCTCTGCCCTGGCTGGTGGAGAAGCATACGGGTTATACTGACGTATTTCAAACTGGCACTTTCAGCTTGGGCGGTATGATTTAGACAATCTCATCATTCTGATGAGGGGTGAGAGCCCTCATGTTCTGAGGAATCGCCGGGGACTTTGACCCGGCCAATTCTCAGCATCAAGTTTCGCAATATGAAGTGGGGTTGTAGCACACTCGTGTCATGCTACGCCACTCCACTCAGTATCATGTCATCATGCCGTGTCCGTAGACATGTTTGAATCTGGAATCGATCGCTCAAGGTATGTCCACATCCTGCCTTAATGGTTCCAGACACACGGGTTCTGCTGTGACTTGCACACTTGAACTCTCTAGTGGGAGCAGGATTGGCAAAAGTTACAATGTTGGGTGTATGTGTGTGCCGCCAGTTGGGGGAGACAGCAGTTACATCCAACGCTTGCAAGTTTGGCATGTGTGTGCTGGCCGAGTTCGAAGCCGATACCGACATCCTTAGATCGTTGGCAATGATTCGCAGGTCATTCCAAAGGGCGATTGCATACTAGATGATCATGGTTTCAGAGAATGGCATTCGGCCGATATCGTGGCCACCATGCCTTAATTGTGGGGCAGAGGAGTGTTGGTTGCCTATCGCGGTTTCTTGGGAATCTTCTCGGGGGGTGTCCTCGGACGTGTCTCTTCTGGATCTTTTGGATTCGAGCATACGGTTGAAGTGGTATAAGCGGTACCCTTCGGGAAGACTCTGGGGCAGCCTAGTGGTGGCAATTTTGAAGCCTGTCGGGCCGTTCTTGCGACCTCTTTTGAGCCTCTTGGGGCCTCTTGGGGATTTTCGGGGCCTCGTTGGAGGCCTGCTGGCGGTCTGGGGGTCCCCTTTGGGGCGAGGGGCGCGACCCCTCTTGTGGCCGTCTTGGGGCCATCTTGGGCCGCTCTTGGGGGGCTTCTGGAGCCGTGTTGGAGCGATATTAGGAGCTTCCTGGCCGTGTTGGAGCGACGAGAGCCCGGGAAACGGCCCAGCGAAAACGTTTCAAAAACCTCCAGAATGAGCATCTCGGGACTCTCTTTATAGCGTTTCGCTAGACGACCCTTACAGAGTTCAAAGGTTTCCTCCCACCAGAATCTCCACGGGGGGGGCCCGGGGAGGGCGTCTCGCAGGCCCAGCGGCGATTTGGCAGCGTTCGACATGGCGTTCTGGCTCGAATGCGACTCACTGTGGTATTCTGGCGGCCCGGAATCTGCCCGCAGCGCTCACTATAATGTTCTGGCTCGGTCCAGGAGTGCGATTCACTACAGTGTTCTGGCTCGGTATCGGCCCTCGCAGTACGTGCTTTCACGTGTCCAGGCCACCCAGGGGGGTATCCAACATGGTGGTCCCAAGCTGAAGCCACGTGTTTTTCCTGAATAGCGTTTCGCAGAGGTCTATCAGTGATCCAAAATTCTGTTCACCAGAATCTCAAAGGGGCGGCAGGGGGGAACCGTCTCATCAGCCCAGTGACGCGGCCAAGGGACGCTCACTGTGATGTTCTGGCTCGATCTCACGGTCCAGCAAGCAGCGCTCACTATGGTGTTTTGGTTCGATTTGAGCCGGAGGCGTGATTCACCATATTGTTGTGGCTTGATTTCATTTGATATGCCTTGTTCTTGGGTCTCGAGCGCATTGCTTTATGCATGCTTCTATCGAGTTTCCCTTCTACTGTGGATCGGATCTTATGTTGTTCACGTGCGCTCCTATAGAATATCCTTTTCCTGGGGCTCGACTGTCGTGTGTTTTGCGTGTGCGCCTATAGACTGCCTTCTTTTGTGGCTCGAATTCTGTGTGTGTTTACATATGTGCCTATATATATATATATATATATTGCCCCTTTTCTTGTGGCTCAAATCCGATGCGTTTCACGTATGTGCCTGTCGATGGCGCTTCTCTTGTGGCTCGAATCAATGTGCGTCACGCATGTGCCTATGGATTGCCCCTCCCCTGTGGCTCGGATAATACATGTTTCATGTATGTGCCTACGGTTGCCATTCTCCTGTGGTTCGATTATGGTATGAATTACACGTGTGTTTATGTATATATATATATATATATATTCGATTGCCCTTCTCCTGTGCGTCGAACTTGGTATGTTTTACGTATGTGCCTATATATTCCCCCTCTCCTGTAGTTCGACTCTGGCTTGTGTTACGTCTGTGGCTATAGGTTGCCCCTCTTATGGCTCGGATCCGATGTGTCTCGGTTGCGACAACATGGCTACTGGGCCGTGGTGAAATATTACCCCATGTTGACGGGTCGGCAAAAGTGCATCCTGCGTCCGTAATGCGAGATCACGTCGCAAGTCGCCCCGTTAGGGACGTGGAGCCTGGTACAACGTTGCGGGGGAGGTGCCTCGCTTTCGGGGCGGAGGACAACCTGGGGTTTGGCATCTGAATTGCAGTTTTATTCCCAACCCTCCCTTGGTTGGGTACTCGTTTTGAATAGAGCACCCTGGTCGCCCCGTCCTACCGCCCACTTCCCTCCTGCCTCCTACCTCCTCCTCGCGGCGCCCTCTGGGGGGCTGCGATATGCGCATCTGTCGCCTCCTGCGATCTTGCGCAACTGTCGGCACTTTCGTGGGCTCCTGGGAGGCCCAGCGGAGTGGGGGTTACACGCGGATCGCGTCGGGACCTCGCGGCTCCCTGCGGGGGGAGCTGCCAACTTGCGCAATTGTAGGCACTTTCGTGGGCTCCTGGGAGGCCCAGCGGAGTGGGGTTACACGCGGATCGCGTCGGGACCTCGCGGCTCCTTGCGGGGGGAGCTGCCAACTGCGCAATTGTCGGCACGTTCGTGGGCTCCCGGGAGGCCCAGCGAAGTGGGGTTACACGCGGATCGCGTCAGGACTTCGCGGCTCCTTGCGGTGGGAGCTGCCAACTGCGCAACTGTCGGCACTTTCGTGGGCTCCTGGGAGGCCCAGCGGAGTGGGGTTACACGCGGATCGCGTCGGGACCTCGCGGCTCCCTGCGGGGGGAGCTGCCAACTTGCGCAATTGTCGGCACTTTCGTAGGCTCCTGGGAGGCCAAGCGGAGTGGGGGTTACACGCGGATCGCGTCGGGACCTCGCGGCTCCTTGCGGGGGGAGCTGCCAACTGCGCAATTGTCGGCACTTTCGTGGGCTCCTGGGAGGCCCAGCGGAGTGGGGTTACACGCGGATCGCGTCAGGACCTCGCGGCTCCCTGCGGGGGGAGCTGCGAACTGCGCAATTGTCTGCAATTTCGTGGGCTCCTGCGAGGCCCAGGTGAGTGGGGTTACACGCGGATCGCGTCGGGACCTCGCGGCTCCTTGCGGGGGGGGAGCTGCTAGTTGCGCAAGTGTCGGCACTTTCGTGGGCTCTTGGGAAGCCCAGCGGAGTGGGGTTACACGCGGATCGCGTCGGGACCTCGCGGCTCCCTGCGGGGGGAGCTGCCAACTGTGCAATTGTCTGTCCTTTCGTGGGCTCCTGGGCCCAGCGGAGTGGGGTTACACGCGGATCGCGTCGGGACCTCGCGGCTCCTTGCGGGGGGAGCTGCGAACTGCGCAACTGTCGGCACTTTCGTGCTCCTGCGATTTTGCGCAATTGTCGGCACGTTCGTGGGCTCCTGGGAGGCCCAGCGGAGTGGGGGTTACACGCGGATCGCGTCGGGACCTCGCGGCTCCCTGCGGGGGGAGCTGCCAACTTGCGCAATTGTCGGCACTTTCGTAGGCTCCTGGGAGGCCCAGCGGAGTGGGGGTTACACGCGGATCGCGTCGGGACCTCGCGGCTTCTTGCGGGGGGAGCTGCCAACTGCGCAATTGTCGGCCCATTCGTGACTCTTGGGAGGCCCAGCGGAGTGGGGTTACACGCGGATCGCGTCAGGACCTCGCGGTTCCTTACGGGGGGAGCTGCCAATTGTGCAATTGTCGGTCCTTTCGTGGGCTCCTGGGAGGCCCAGCGGAGTGGGGTTACACGCGGATCGCGTCGGGACCTCGCGGCTCCTTGCGGGAGGAGTTGCCAACTGCGCAATTGTCGGCACTTTCGTGGGCTCCTGGGAGGCCCAGCGGAGTGGGGTTGCACGCGGATCGCGTCGGGACCTCGCGGCTCCCTGCGGGGGGAGCTGCCAACTGCGCAATTGTCGGCGCTTTCGTCGGCTCCTGGGAGGCCCAGCGGAGTGGGGTTACACGCGGATCGCGTCGGGACCTCGCGGCTCCTTGCGGGGGGAGCTGCGAACTGCGCAATTGTCGGCACTTTCGTGGGCTCCTGGGAGGCCCAGCGGGGTGGGGTTACACTCGGATCGCGTCGGGACCTCGCGGCTCTCTGCGGGGGGAGTTGCTAACTGCGCAACTGTCGGCACTTTCGTGGGCTCTTGGGAGGCCCAGCGGAGTGGGGTTACACGCGGATCGCGTCGGGACCTCGCGGCTCCTTGCGGGGGGAGTTGCCAATTGCGCAACTGTCGGTCCTTTCGTGGGCTCCTGGGCCCAGCGGAGTGGGGTTACAAGCGGATCGCGTCGGGACCTCGCGGCTCCCTGCGGGGGGAGCTGCCAACTGCGCAAGTGTCGGCCATTTCGTGGGTTCCTGAGACGCCGAACGATCGCTCCAGGACGTTCAAGGTGGGCCCCAGACGGCCCAAGAGGCTTCCAAGACGCTCCAAAAGGCCTCCAAAAGGCTTCATGGGAGGGCCCCGAGAGGCCAAAACCACGAATTGTACGATGGTTTTTGAAGGATTATGGCCTTCTCGTTTTTTTCGGTTTTCCGGAGCAACAGGACGGCTCAAGAGGCACCCAATATTGCGCCAAGACGGCCCAAGAGGCGTCCCAGAGGGCCTAAAGACTGCCCACGAGGCCCCAAGACGGCCCAAGACAGCCACTCGAACGAAGAGTACCGACTATCGGAATTTGTCGGTCAGGTTTCCAACGTCGATGTCCAGAGGAGTTGTTGTGAGCAGGGCGATGTGGGTGCGACCGAAACAGCAGAATACTATTATCCTGCTACAGCTACAGGCCCGAGCTAAAGCTTTCGGGTCCCAAGCTTCGGCTACAGGCCCATGCCACAGCTACAGGCCCATGAGAATGGGGCGCGATCGAAACAGCAAAATACTATTCTCCTGCTACAGCTACAGGCCCGAGCTAAAGCTTTCGGGTCCCAAGCTTCGGCTACAGGCCTAAGCCACAGCTACAGGCCCATGAGACTGGGGTGCGACCGAAACAGCATAATATTATGCTCCCGCTACAGCTACAGGCCCGAGCTAAAGCTTTCGGGTCCCTAGCTTCGGCTACAGGCCCATGCCACAGCTGCAGGCCCATGAGAATGGGGCGCGACCGAAACAGCATAATATTATGCTCCTGCTACAGCTACAGGCCCGAGCTAAAGCTTTCGGGTCCCACGTTTCGGCTACAGGCCCAGGCCACAGCTACAGGCCCATGAAAATGGGGTGCGACCGAAACAGCAGAATACGATTCTCCTGCTACAGCTACAGGCCCGAGCTAAAGCTTTCGGGTCCCAAGCTTCGGCTACAGGCCCAAGCCACAGCTACAGGCCCATGAGAATGGGGCGCGACCGATACAGCAGAATATTAGTATTCTGCTACAGCTACAGGCCCGAGCTAAA